TCTGTGACACGTGGGGTGGCCTGCGTTGGTCAGTCCTCTCTGTGACACGTGGGGTGGCCTGTGTTGGTCAGTCCTCTCTGTGACGTGGGGTCACCTGCGTTGGTCAGTCCTTTCTGTGACACGTGGGGTCGCCTGCGTTGGTCAGTCCACTCTGTGACACGTCCTGACTTCAGGCCTGGTTTCTTGTTTGCTGTGTGGTAATGACAACAGGGTGGACGGACACAGTGACAGCAGCAGTGGGCTCGAGGGTGTCAGAGACAGTGAGGACAGCACAGGACAGGGCTCGGGTCTGTTGTCCGTGGAGTCGCTGTGAGTCCTACGCAGTGGCAGCTGACAACAGTGATGTAAGCGCCCAGCCCGCACCCCATCCTCCGCGGGCACAGCCTGACATCGCCCCTCATCCGGGGCTCCTGCAGTCAGCTCTGCGGTGGGCATCCTTGGTGTTTTTTTTTTCCTTTTTGGTCCGCTTGACCACCGCCTGGTGCTGGTTCTCTGGCTTTCCCAGAGTGCCCTGGGGCAGGAGGTCCTGGGTCAGCTAGCAGGGGCCCGCCCTGGTGCACACCATCAGGGCACCACGTGCCTAGGGTGGGCCCCCTTCTTGGGTTTGATGATGATGACGATGATGATGATGACTACGTATCGTCCCACAGGTCGCGTGGCCCGGGCCGGCCGGAGCGGCACAGCCTACTCCCTGGTTGCCCCAGACGAGGTCCCCTACCTGCTGGACCTGCATCTGTTCCTGGGCCGGACCCTCACCCTTGCCCGCCCCCACGGAGAGCCCTTGGGTAAGTGGAGCTGGGGTTCCCCATCGAGTTCATGCAGGAGTGGCTTGGGGAGGAGGTGGAGGTGGATTTGAACACACGCAGCTGTTGTGCTGATTCTGACTCTGAACCACCGTATAGAGCAGAGGGGAGCTGCCCACCAGATCCCCACGGCCGGGAGTCTGTGGACACGGACGGGCCACAGCGTCCTCCCAGGAGGCAGGTGGTGGGCTTGAACCACTGACCTTTCAGTTAGCAGTCAGCTTTTAAACCATTGCTCTCTCATCTCTAAAATCAGAGCATCACAGTGCTTATCTTATAGACTAGCAGGGTGTTGCGTTTATCGCGGGCAGACCTCTCTATACGTACTGCACTGCATCGCTCTGTGTCAGTGTCGGCTTTTCTGCAGTCAGACCGTCCGTGGCGAATCTGTCGGCACCAGTGTTCTGACCTCACGCCCACTTGTCTCTGTTACGTTTTGGTCAAACTTGGTTCAGCCGTTGCCTTTTGAGAGACCACAGTCCAGTGTCCGTGTATCTTTTTGTGTGTTCTGGGAAGCTGACCTCTGTGGGACTCACATGATGGCGACTCCTCTTTCTTGGGGTGCCCTGGCACAGAGGGGCTGAGGGAGGGCCGGGGCCCGGGCAGGTGGCCCAGGCCAGGCGGACCCTAACGGGCTCTGTGTGGGCAGCAGACGCAGCCCACGTGGACGGTGTGCTGGGCCGGGTGCCGCAGAGCGTGGTGGACGACGAGGACAGCGGGCTGCGGAGCGCCCTGGAGGCGTCGCTGGAGCTGCGGGGCCTGGGCCGCGTGGCCGACAACGCGCAGCAGCAGTACCTGCGCTCCCGGCCGGCGCCCTCGCCCGAGTCCATCAAGAGGGCCAAGGCGCTGGACCTGGCGGGGCTGGGCCTGCACCCGCTCTTCAGTGAGTCCCGGCTGGGGGTGCAGGTGGGGGGCGTGGCGGGGCGAGGGTGGGCCCTGCAGAGACCTCACAGCCCTTCCCCTCCAGGCTCGCGCTTCGAGGAACATGAATTGCAGCGGCTGCAGCTGGTGGACAGCATCAAGAAGTACCGCTCGCGGGCGGTGAGTGAGGGCCCAGGGTGTGGTAGTGGCTGGGGCGTGGAGCGAGGGGCCTGGGGCCACTGTGGACCCTGACGGGCACTGTGTAGGGTGAGGGGTCTGGGGCCGTGACAGCCGCAATGTGGAGCGAGGGTTCTGGGGCGCGGTGAGGGCTGTGGTAAAGCGGGAAGAGCTTGGCACAGTGATGACTGCAGTGTGGAACCAAGACGGTGGCCCTGACCTGGGGCAGGACCGAGGGTCTCTCTTCCTAATCTGCACCCTAGGGTCCCATCAGCACCTCTAGAAAATCCTTGCCCTGCACCTCCCTCTGCTGATCTCTGGTCCCCAGCTGGGAACCACCTCCACCTTACAGATGGATAGACAGTGAGGGCCAGAGCCTGCAGAGGCCTGACAGCAGCCTCCCCCTCCCTGTGGCATCCCTGGTGTGCATCTGGCACCGAAGGAAGTGGCCCCAAGACAAGCCAGCGTCCGGGGCGGGGGGTGGGGGCTGCGGCTGGGCTCAGCTTCAGGTGGACTTCGAGCCTTCCCTGTGGGGTGATGGGCTCTGGCCTCACAGAGCGGTGAGGGTGGGTGGGATTGGGCATGGGGCCTGAGGGCTGAGGGCTCTGTGTCCCCCACAGACCATCTTTTTTTTTTTAATGAAAATTTACAGAGAATTTGGATTTCCATTCGTTCATTGTTGAACTTTTCTCCCTGCCCAGCCTCCCCCTCAGTTCACTCTTCTGTTTGAAAAGTAAAAGAAAAATTCTTTCGTTGTTCTACAATCACTCCCCCCAACTCCACTCCACTATGCAGCGTTCGTTCTGGGCTCTTGTCATGATAAGAATACCCAATCATATATCCCTTTTGAACAGTTTTCTCCCTCATCTGTTTCAATGCAGTATACATCAATTATCCCCTCCTTCTCTGTCTTCCCTCAACCCCGATGTCAGTCCCATTTCACATAGCGGCCCTCTGCAATATTTGTCTTTTTGTGACTGAGATATTTCACTCAGTAAAATATCCTGCAGGGTCACCCATTCTGTATTTTTCTTGAGTTCCTTGTTTTTCAGTGCAGCATAGTATTCCATTGTGTGAATATACCACAGCTTCTCTCTCCATTCGTTTGTTGATGGGCACTCGGGTTGTTTCCCCCCACAGACCATCTTTGAGATCAACGCGTCCAGCCGGGACCCGAGCAGCCAGGTGATGCGTGCCAAGCGGCAGAGGGACCGCAAAGCCATCGCCAGCTTCCAGCTGAGGGGACAGGAAGGTGTCAGCGGCCTCACCAGGAATGAACCGGCCCCCAGCAGCCCGGCCCCAGCCGAGGAGCAGCTCCGGCAGGCGGAGGAGGAGACAGGAGACCTGGTGAAGGTACAGACACCACCCTGAGGTCGTGGGTGGGCTCTTCATAGGACCCTGCCTGCTGGGCTCATGGGTGTGGACAGGGAGCTGGGGCTCACAGGTCCCCATCCCTGCCTGTCCCGTACCTGGTAAGCCTGTGTCCAGCAGAAGGCCCGGCCCCCAGCTCATCACAGCCACGTGTCACCATCCTGTGGGTCTGTCCCCGGCCATCGCCTTGCCTGGCCAGGGCTAGTGGGTGGAGAGGCTAGGAGGGCTGTCCGGGGCTGCAGTGTGACCCTGGGCCTCGGGGGCCAGGACGTCTTCATGGAGGTTGTAGGCCAGAAGCGGCGGCGGCCAGGCCCCGATGGGGCAGCCAAGAAGCGGCGGACAGAGGCCCAGCAGCGGGACCGCGACTTCTACGTGCCCTACCGGCCCAAGGACTTCGACAGCGAGCGAGGGTGAGTGGGGCGCGGCTCCAGGGGCGCTCTCCTCGCTGTCCTCCCCTCCCTCACCTCACCCCCACCGCCTCTGCGTCAGGGATGGGGTGGGCTGGGTCTCAGGGACAGGGAGGGGCCTCAGGGAGTCCTCAGCCCCCCGACATGCTTCCCACCCTGGCTACAGTATCAGGGATGGTGGGGCCGGGTCTCAGGGTCAAGTTGGGGGTTCTGGGGAAACCCTCATCCCCCCATCATGGCTCTCATGCCCTCTGTAGCATCAGGAACCCGGGCTTGGTTCTGGGTCCAGGCAGGGGGCTCCGGGGGCCCCTCAGCTCCCCGTCGTGCCTTCCAAAGCCTGAGAATTAGGAATGATGGGTCTCGGTCCCAGGGCTGGCAGGAGGCTCATGGGGGTCCTCTTCTCCTGGTAGTATCAGGGACGGTGGGGCTGGGTCCTGGGTTTGCACAACTGCCGTCCCCCCATCATGGCCCCCCACCCCCTCTGCAGCCTGAGCGTCGGGGACAGTGGGGCCTTCGAGCAGCAGGTGGCCGGTGCCGTCCTGGACCTGATGGGGGACGAAGCCCAGAATATGAACCGGGGTCGGCAGCAGCTCAAGTGGTGAGTAGACGGGGCGCTGACCCCGCCGGGGATGGTACCCCCAGGAGCCAGCTTGTCCTGTCCTGTCCCCGAGGCCCAGCAGGGTGTTGTCCCCCATCCTGTCTCCCCTGACGTCACACACAGGAGGCCGGTGCCTCTCGATTTGACCCCCGGCGTCTGGGATCCTGACCACATAGGTCCTTCTTTGTGGCTGATTGGTCTTTACAGAGGGCGCCCTAGTGGCATGGTGGTTAAAGTGCTTAGCAGCAAACGAGGTTTATCGGTTCAAACCCACCAGCCGCTCCCCCGAGAAAGACGAGGTACTCCACTCGTCATCTTGAGGCTGTGAAGACCACAGCCCGGGAACCCCACACGGTGGCCGTTCGGGTCTGTCCTGCAGGTTCGTGGTGAGGGAGAATCACCTCGCCGCCCGTGGGCTTCCTGAGTTTGGTCTTTGCGGGCGGGGTCCGCAGCCCTTTGCACCCGCAAGTACTCAGTGGCCCACGTGACAGGATTTGTCTTCAGGGCTCAGTTGGGCAGCAGCCCCGAGGAGGCCCCTCCTCCTGACCAGGCCTCCCAGGCCCCCAGCTGGTGCCACTGCCCGGTCCCTGCAGTCCCTCGTGCGCCAGGTTCCAGGCCCGGGAGCACCTGCTGGGTGCCTGACCTGCCTTTAATCACCCCAACAACATGGGAAGGGGCTCCGGAGGAGGCTGCTGCCCAGGCCCCTCCTCTGCAGCCCCCCAACTCCCTGCCCCTCCGCAGGGACCGGAAGAAGAAGCGGTTTGTGGGGCAGACGCAGCAGGAGGAGAAGAAGAAGATCAAGACTGAGAGCGGCCGCTACATCAACAGCTCCTACAAGCGGGACCTGTATCCTTGGGGCGAGGGCAGAGGGGTCACGTGCCCGGGGCGGGGGGGGACCCCACTTCCAGCCTGGCACCCTCCTTAACCGGCTCCCAGCTACCAGAAGTGGAAGCAGAAGCAGAAGATTGACGACCGGGACTCAGAGGAAGAGGGGCCGGGGGAGCGGCGAGGCCCCGAGAGAAGAGGTGGGAAGTGGGGCCGTGGCCGAGGTAAGAGCTGGCTGGGACGGTGGGCAGAGCAGGTGGGCTGTGGGGAAACTGAGGCACGGAGGGACGGGGCAGAGGAGCTACTAATGTCACACAGCCCTGGTGTAGGGTGCACCCCCTCAGTGTACTTGGACCCCCTAAGCACCAACAATACCCACAATCCCATAGGCATCTGTCCCCCTGGGTGACTCGGGGCGTCTAGTGTCCTTCAGCCTCAGGCCTGCCTAACTGCCGTCGGGGCCACCTTCTGTCCTCGTCCAGCTCTGAGCTCGTCTGTCTGAGAATCTCCCTCATCTTTGCCTCTGGGTCTCTGTCCCGGTCTCCGTGTCACTGTCTCCCTCTCTCTCTCTGTCCCTGTCCAAGTCTCTCTCTATGTCCCTATCTCTCTCTCTCTCTCTGTGTGTCTCCGTGTCACTATCTCCCTCTCTCTGTCCCTGTCCAAGTCTCTTAAGTCCTTATCTCTCTCTTTCTCTCTCTCTGTGTCCCTGTCTCTCTCTCTGTGTTCATATCTCTCTCTCTTTCTCTCTCCCTCTCTCTCTGTGTCCCTGTCTCTCTCTCTCTCTGTTTCCGTTTCTCTCTCTGTGTCCCTGTCTCTCTCTCTGTCCCTGTCTTAGTCTCTCTCTCTCTGTGTCCCTGTCTCTCTCTCTATGTCCCTGTCTTTCTCTCTCTCTCTTTCTGTGTCCCTCTGTCTCTCTCTCCCTCTCTCTCTCTCTCTCTGTGTCCCTGTCTCTCTCGCTCCGTGTCCCTGTCTCTCTCTGTGTCCGTATCTCTCTCTTTCTCTCTCCCTCTCTCTCTGTGTCCCTGTCTCTCTCTGTCTCTTCCTCTTCATCTGTCTTCTTGTCTCGGTTCTTGCTATCAGTTTCTGCCTCTCTTCTCTGAGTGTCTGTGTTCTCCCGTGTCCTAAATGTGAACGTTCTGTCTGTCTTTCTGTGGGGTGTGCTGCTGTCCTCGCTAAAGGTCAGGGTCCCCGCCAAGAGCCCTTGTCCAGTGGCAACATCAGGGCCACCCTAATGACCACCTGTCTTTGAGCTCTGAAAGGTCACTGCTGTGAGGAGGGCCCCGTGAGAGAGGAACAGAGGAGGAAGCAGGATTTGGGGGGGAGCCAGGGAGGCCGTGGCCCTTCTACGAGCTGGAAGAACAGGCTTTCCTTGAGCTTGTCCAACTAGTCGGGGCTGCCGCTCTGCCTTGTGAGCTAGGAGCAGGCCCCACTAACCAAAAGTCAGCGATTCGAACCCACCAGCGACAGCAAAACAAGAAACGATGAGTCACAGCTCTGGAAGCCCTGTAGACAGGTCCACCGTGCCCTCCAGGGTCACTGGATCTCAGGAGACCAGGTGGCAGCAGAAGCAGTGCCGGCTGTGGATCAACCCTGTTCTGAGCACCTTGCGTGCGTTCACGCCTCAGCAGAACCTGCTGCAGTGGGTGCGGTTACGCCCACTTCACAGCTGTGAAAAGTCGAGGCACGGAGAGTTAGGTGTTTGGCCCAGGCTCCAAGAAGTCACAGCTGGGATTTGAACCCCAGTCCTTCTCATTCAGGGAGCTCTGGTGGGTAAGAAGCTGTACTTTTCAGAAGGGTTTTGAAGGGTGTCTAGAAGTTTGCCCGCAAAGCCAGGCAGGCCAACATAAAGACAGGCAGGTCAAATCCACCTCAACGGGAGAAAGATGGGAAGTTTCCTTCCCTTGCAGTTCCCAGCCTCTGAAAACTCACTCAAGGGTTGGTATGAGTGGTTCAGACTCAATGGCAGTGAGTTGGGTCCTAATTAGAATTTGTGAGTCCACGCTAGACTGTCTAGCCTTTATTAAGTATCCTCTGTGCTTGGAACAGAGGCCAGAGCAGTGGATGTAGGGGTGAGGGGATAGTCCTGGGGGCTTGTGGTAGGAGACACAGGGACGTCGACCCCAGGGTTGAGCTCCCAGACCCCCTCCTCCCTGCAGGCGCCTCCCAGCCCCGCGCCCCTGCTACCCCCGCGGGCCGCAGACACTCGGAGCTGAAGACAAAGCAGCAGATCCTGAAGCAGCGGCGCCGGACCCAGAAGATGCGGTTCCTGCAGCGGGGAGGCCTCAAGCAGCTCTCAGCCCGCAACCGCCACCGGGTTCAGGAGCTGCAGCGGGGCGCCTTCGGCCGGGGCGCCCCCTCCAAGAAGGGCAAGATGAGGAAGAGGATGTGAGGACCAGGCCCAAGGTGGACATTGCAGAGGACGCTTGCACGCCTGGCCTGTGCCGGGCACTGGAGGGGAGGGCCCTCCTGTGGGCCGCAGGGCTGTTTCAGCAGGGTTTTGACAGGTGCCTAGGAGTTCACCAGCAAAGCCAGGCAGCCCAAGCCTTGAGTTGGCCACTTGACTGTATGTTGGGAATCAGTCCAGGGATGTGTTTTTTTAAAATAAATAAGTCTTTATTGAACATCTCTGCTTGACGGGAGTTACTAATCAACTTGGGAAGCTGGGGGGAGGGGAAGACCCAGGTAAGATGTGCTGCGAAAGGTTTATTGTTCCAACTGGCTTAGCCTCCAGTGAACTGTTTATTCAGTGAAGTATTCATTGTATTAAGGGGATAGGATTAGGGTGGGATATGAGCCCGTTGTGTCCTGTGGAAAAGCTTGCCCTCCGCTGGGTTTTCAGAGGCCGTTAATCACATGGGAGGAGACTGCCCATTTTTCCCTGAGCAGCTGGTGTATTCAAACCATATGACTTTCGGATTGCAGCCCAGCTTCCTGAGAACTTGAGGCTAGCTCTCTTTTGGGGTGCTTGCCATCGTGGGGTACAGCACCCAGCTGCACCACACCTGACAGGCTGCGGGGTCCCGGCCCACGGCTCACCAGTCTCTGCCACCGGCCTGCATCACCCACAGTCACTTGAGTCATTTCCCTGACGGCTTCTCCGTTAAGACCTTCCAGTGAACCACTGACCCCAAGAAACATGGAGGAGAGGGGAACGGAATAAAGGGGGAACAGCTGCTGTCGGAAATCATGGCGGGGTACAGTAGATGAAACACTTGGGACATTGTTGTCTTCTCCCTTTTTGTAACCAGTCTATAAGCAGTTACAGATGCATAATCCAATCCCAGCCGAGGGTGAGGTGGGTGGGCCGCAGAGCGTGTGAACAGGAAACAGGCTGAGTGAGGGGCTTGGTGGCAGAGTGTGAGGTTGGAAGACCCTGCTTCCTTGCGGCTACAGGGTTGCCTCTGGCTGTGAAGGGATTAACAATGTCTGCTGTGCTCCAGGTCACAGCCAGCCCAGCCCCAGGGTCTTCTGACACCCCCCCCCCAGACCTCCAAACACCACCACCCCCAGACCACTTCTCATCACCATATCTGCCAGCCACGTTTAATGAGCACTTGCTGGGGGTCGTTAAGCATCCCCCCCCCCCTGCTCTGAGGAAACGCTTTTGGAAGGGTCAGTTGGCTCATACCCCCACAGGAAGCATGGGAATCCCACTGGCCCTCCTGTCCCTGGTTACCTAGTTCAAGTTTCCTCCTGATGGACACTGGCCAGCGTGCTGGAAAGGTCTTGGATGAACAGCTTCACCTGGGGACCCAGCAAGAGACAGTCACATCCTGGCCCCTGCGTTGCTGTCCAACCCTCACGCCCAGGTCCTGCAGACAACTGGGATTTTAGGCCAGCAGGCTTGACTCTCAGGTGGTTTGTGACCTCTCACCTCTGCGTTGGCCCACTTACTTAAAACATCTCAAACCCTGTGGGACAACTTACTGTAAACTGCAATCAACTGCACTCAACATGAAAGTGGCAAGGAATTGTGCTGCCAACCCAAAGGCCCCTAGTTCGAATCCACTAGCTGCACCATGGGAGAAAAACGGCCAATCTTCTTCCATGTGATTTACTGCTTCTGAAAACCCGCTGGAGGATCAGCTGTGGGTTGGTTCCGACTTGATGGTGCATGCCAACAACATGAAAGGCATACTTGACCGCCCCTCTGCCCGTTTGTGATTCTGTGGTGCCTTGTGTATAGCGGTGGGCAGTTATGTCACCAATATTTTAAAATAGCAGCATGGTCACCCATGGTGGTCAGGTTCACCGAGCTCTAAGACTAGGATTAAAGGCCTGGTGGTCAACTGACAGCCAGTGGAAACTCTGGGCAGTAACTGGACATGGTCCAATCGGATTACTGGTAACATTTCAAGGATTAAAAGCCTTGCAGTTTCTTCTCAGGGCTACTTAGCTGAGCCGTTGAACACTGAGAGGAAAAGGGGGTTCGTGGCATAAGGTAGAGTCCGTCAGCACTGTCTGGCACTGGGAAGAGTTGCAGAAGAGGACTTCACTTTCCTTAAGCGAGCAGGTCACTGAGTGACCATCTGGCGGAGTCCTGTGGCCGGGGGGCACCAAGTCCTGCCCACAGGTGGCCATGCTTAACCCAGCTGCCAGCCATGGTGGGATTCTCCTCATTTCTGATGAGGGAACAGCATGGGGGCCCAGGCAGTGGCATCCAGAGCCCCTCACCTGCTCCAGCTGCCCCTCTGTGTCCTCCAGGACCAAGGCGGGCGGCTGCCTCAGATGCTGGCACACGACCTGGAACAGGTTGAGGGCTGCCATCCTCGTGCGCCCCAGGAGCAGGGTCTTGGCTGCCGCTGTGTTCTGGATCTGAATCCACTTGGATTCCTGGTGAAACAGCACCC